CGATTTTCCTGGTGATCATTGGTGACGTTAGTTGGCACAGTCATTTAGTTGCGCAAATGGATTATCACTAACAATGTTATGATCATTTTGTATAGTGTGATGATAAAATGTTTATTATGTATAAAATATTTACAGTAAATACGCAATTTTTTCATTTTCATTTTTTACGAAAGAAAAACATTCAAATAAGCAATCTTATAGCAAAAAAGGGTTGCTTAATTTTAGAATGATACAGTATATAATTTATTTTAAAAGAAGTTAAATAAGCAACTTCTTAAATATATTTAAAGGTTATTTTATTATATAATGATAAAAATCATTTGAAAATAATTTGTCTTATTCTTATTTTTCAATAAAATTTGTAGATAATGATCAATTATATATAATTAAAAAATAATATTAATAATTATATATATCTTAAATAAAAGAAATAAACTTTTTAAATACTATACTTAAGAATTTTTATTGTTAATATCAGATTAATCCAAAAATTTTTGCATCATAATAAAATGCTAATTTATTTTACTATAATAAATTTTCTTAAGTTTATTAATTATATCTATAAATGTATTTGAAATAATTGTAATAATAGATTGAATAACTAAAAATATATTATATTAATTTTCATATTATTATTATTTTACTTCTTTTCTAAATATTCTTTCACTGTAAGAAATACATTTATTAATATGTTATTAGAATTATGTAATAACTGTTTAAAAATATAGTTAACTCTTATTATAATAAACTCTATATCTTAAACTTCAACTTTACTACAAGTTATAGTAAAGATTTTAAGAGATTTGATTAGCCAATTCGCTATAATAAGAGTATTTTTATTATATTTATTTAAAAAATTTGTTTATCAAAAGTTTGCTAAATTAAGAGTTGATTGTAATATTAATAGATTTATTTTATAGTATTATTTATATATTTAATATAAAAATATTAGTATTAAATGCATATGTTAAAGAAGTTTTAAATAGATAAAAAAGAAATTAACTTATTTTAGTAAATGTATAAATTATATAAAAGTAAAAATATTTTGTGTAATATTTTTAAAATCTCAAATTTATTATTTTAAGAATTTGTATAATTAAATTCTTTTTTATGAAAATTATTTGATTAATAATTCTAGCCAAATATAATATTGTCTAAATTAAGAAGTATATAATGAAATTATAAATTATAAAACTTATTTAAATGATAAATAATTTATGATAAGTTATGTAAATTATATAAATCATATAATATCATGTATCAACGTTGTTCTTTTAAGATAACTTAAAGTAGTTGGTTAATTAATAAGCAAATTTGTTTAATATTATTTAATAATTTTAGTTTTAAACTATTTGATATTCATAAAAATTATTCTTAAATTGATTAAATTATCTACTAAATTTTGACCTAAGATGCAATGTTAAATTTTAACTAATATGTCAAATATAATGTATTACAAATGTAAAAAAATATTTTAATTAAATTGTAGCATCTATATCAGGATCTGCATCTATTATAAATACTCTTAGCATTAGTCCTGTTGCTTTTACAGTTTATTGTAAATATATGAATATGCATTTTTGATCTTTTGATTTATTAATATTTAAGCAATAATTTGTGATTTTATGTTGTCAATTACTATGAAAAAGAAAAGTGATATTTTGTAGTAATTGGTTTTTAAGGTATTATCATTAAGAATAATATTACTATATCAGAACCAAGTTTTCAATTGGTTAGGATCCATCTAAAAGAATTTTGTTAGTATATTAGTTTTGTGATTCTAATCCTTATAAGCTACTTAATGTAAATTATCATTATTTCAGTTTTCAAAGACTCATAAAACACTATTACTTTGTATATTATTACTATGATGATACTTGTAATAATTCAATAAAGAACTTGATTATAAACCTTTCTATTATATTTAGCTTTTAATATACGTTTAATTGCTAATAGTTTTAGATGACAATGCATAAATATCCATTTAATATCTTTAACATTAGTTTTGTAAAAGCTTTAGATACCTTAAAATGGCATGCAAAAGGATCCAAATTATAACCAAAGTATTCATTAAAATTGTAGTAATAAAAATCATACCATTTAATGTTCTGGGAAAGATTAATATGCTATTTACAACCTGTTTGATGAGATTTTGATGATTTCCTTGATTTGTTATCATAAACATCTTCACAATGACATTCAATTGTCTATTTTCTTCGTTTCTTCCTTTGCGAATAAAAAATCCTTGTTTATGAGCCCAGAGTTTAATATGCGTAAAGACAGCCTTCTAAGTAAGAAAAGATAATCCAACTTCCAATGTAAAAGATGAAATGTTCATATCATAAGATAAATCGTCATTATCTTCACTACATCTGGAATATTTTCGATAAAATCGTTAAGAAAATTTTCATTATCTGAATTATCACTTGAAAGTGATTCTGAATCGCTCATTTTAACAATAAGCTTTATAAAAAAAAAAAAATAATGAAAGAGAGAATAAAAAGAAGTGAGACAGAAAGAAAAGAAGCGTGGGTACAATTGATTAAACAATCGATTATTTAAAAGTCTAATAAATGATCGTGCACATGATCATATGGACTGCGCATCAAAAAAAACTACGCATGGGATGCCATGTAAAATTCATATTTAATAATTTACTATACGTGCATAAAAAAAAAAATATGCTTGGGTACAGGGTGCGCAAAATTCAAATTTTCCATAAAATAATTATATTTATTATAATAACTCTATTTAATAAATCCTAACTAATCATTATAACAAACATAATTAATGATCACTTCGTCATATATTTGTCAATTTGGTTTGGTCATGTGATAATTCTTTCTCGTAGATCCTACAATTAACACGGGATTTGGTAATTGCTAAACCTTATAAGAAACGTTCAGAATATTTACATATTTACAGACAGTCATAGGCGCGTTTTTCTAATAGTTTCAGGATGATTTTTTCTGTACGCAAAAGCACTTTTTCTGAGCGTTCTTTTTATACAGAAAAATTAAGTAAATTTATAAAAATACAACTACTAAAAACAAAAATGTTATAAAAATTTTTTATTAAGATTTTGGTCTAGAAATTTTCATCTAAGTGCATAAATTAATAATACTTTTTAACACTTTCTTTGGGAAATTTCATATTTCAAATACAGCCAAAACATAAATTGCTAAAAAAAATAATGATCCTAATGGTGGAGAAATTATTTTAGTAGAACTTATCAATAATTTAAATAATTAAGCCTTGACGGTAAATAAAGCGCCACTCTCTATCGGTTAACCTACTCAGGAATGTCCTTAAAATAATACGTTCTTATGTTTAATAAATGAATATTTTTTCTTAATAAAATGGTTACCTTCATTTTATCATGGGAGGAATTTCTTTGGTGAAATCTTTTTCACCTTTTGATCTGTCGTGAATGTATGGCTTTCATACTTTTCAATAAATTTAATTGGCTAACTGACAGAAATCAATGGTGACTCGTGTAGGATTGAAAGTTAAAATTACGACCAACGAGATGTTCTTGATTTTTTATCTATGCAATAATTTAATTCTTTCATTTTTGCAACCAAGATAATATTACGAGCTACCGTTCCTAAATTGATACCGACCATTTAACGTTACGTTCAGACAAGATTTTTTTAGTCAGGCTTAACACGTTTAATAAGAAATAAAAAAATTTTTTAATTTGCATGTACTAAGCTTTACTAATCTCGCAAACCGAACATCAAATTTATTTACCTGGTCATGTGACTTTATAATTTATTAATTTATTATATCGTCGTCAGTTTTAATTTACCGCAGAAATTACTGCGCCTCTTCACCTTTGCGCCAAAAAGATACGCATCATTTTAATAAAAGTTTGTATTTTTATTTTGCAAATGGGCATCAAAAGTTAGAAAATCGACGGAACAAAGATCTTTCAAATTACACACGTTTGATAAACAATTTTTGTGTAATAAGTAAAGAGATGCGACATTGAAGTTTAATCAGCAATAAAATATATTTTATATATTTAATGCAACACTTTCGTGTATTAATACAAAGATTTTATTTATAGTTGAACATAGCATTTTTAGTTGTAATCTATTTTTATTCGTTAGTAAACTTGTTCTTCGTATTATTACTTTTTTCTGACAGTTAATTTCATTTTTATTATTCTTTATACCGATAATTTGTGTAGCAAAATTGCTTTCAATTATCATGAGACTTTTGGAGCATACATAAGAATTTACGTTGATACGTTCGTTCAATCAAGATTTATTTTTATATAAATCAAATTTTAAATTAAGAAATGACTGAATAAATATCTTGGGCTGGGCTGAAAAATGATCTACAACATGCACATAATTATTTTCTACACTAAAGAATTAGGATTTTACTAAAAATCTTTTCTAACGTAAAGGATTAAGTTTAATATGAATAAGCTCGAATCTTGACATATATGAACAGTGAATGAACTTAAAAATAGAAAAGATATAATGTGAAAAATTCACGAGTCAACCTATATTAGACTCATTTGTAAACTTGGCAACTTGGCAACTATAATCGGTAATCTCATTGTTAAAAACTTTTCATTGTGTTTGATTATTTATTTTGATTATCGATAACATCATCATCAAAGTAGATCTATTCAAAATAAATCACCTAAAGGAAAAGGAAATAGATGATATCATGATAATGATCATGTGTCAATCCATTGAGCCAACTTTCTACGAAAGTTATAATGTTCATATATTTATGTGTACTACATCAATAAACGAATTTTTTTTGGTTAATTTGATTCATTATCTCACTAGTTAAAGCAGGTTAATTCGGGAATTGGTTTGTGATTTAGAAACTTCCAAAATCTTTATCCGAAATTTGTATTGATAAAATGATTCTTCTTTTTTGTTATCATTTGTTTCTTTATCAAAGTAAATTTGGTTTAGCTCTTTCCAAAATTAAAAACAAGAAAACGTCATAAATTCTCACCATGCTATATTTGTTTATATTCATATATATTGGTTAATTTAACGAATTCATATAAAAGGAGTTGATAAATGCTTGCTTCTTTTTTTTTTATTCAATAAACTGTTCATAAAAAAAAAAAATAAAAAAATTAATTTTACCCAAATTATAAGAAAAATTTTCGCGAAAATGAAATCCATCACTTTATTCTTTATCGCTTTGTTCATAATTTCTTGCTTACCTGCAATTCATTCTCAAGAATCATCAATTGTTCCTACGGATTCTTCTGCCATTCCAACCCCTACATCTTCCGACACTGCTGCAAGTGTATCAGGTAAAATAAAATTTCCGTAATAGATACAAGAATTAAAAATTATATAAATGTTCACATATCTTAATTTTCAAAGCATCAACAACGGCAACGGGCTCGGAAACGGGAACGCATACGGGATCAGCGACTACGTCACCAACTACTGGAACGGCTCCCGGAAAATCTGGCGCTGCTCCCGCTTTGAAAGATGAAATGTTTAATGTCGCGGCTGCTGGTTTGGTTGCAGCTGTCGTTGCTTTTTTCTAAATATAAATTCCAAATATTTTTATTGTGATGTGTAATTTTTGTATTTTTTTTTTTTTGGGAGTATATTTAATGTAAATTTGTGAAATTGAGAGAGAGAATATTTTATAAATTATTTTTTTTTTTTTAAAAAAATAAGAAGTTATCAATATTAACGTGTCATAGTGTCATGTAACGTTGCTAAAATTAATTAATAAAGAAAATCGATTTTAGTATCAATTTGATTTGTAATATTAATGAGCTTATCTAAAATCATTCTGTGTCGTTGTATAAGATCATGTGCTCATACGATGCTTTTATTAAAATATTTATGAATCGAGGTCAAGCTAGATGAATAAAATAAAAAAAAAGTATTTTTTGATTCTCCCGGAAAATAAGTGGCACAGTTACAAAAAATTTCCTTCCGTAAATAAAAAGCAACGTAATATTTTTCTTTTGTTTTTACAAACTCCTAAATAGGTTGCGAATGTTTTAATTTGTTTTTAAAAATCCAAATTGTTTTACTTTTAAAAATGGAATTGGATATTGCAAAACTTACTAAATAAGTCGGCAATATCGTTAAAGCTATAATTAATATAAGGTGTTAGAATTAGTTCGTGGAATTGAGAGTTTAGTTTAGTTACTTCATGAAGGAAAAAAGAACATTCGTTGAAATTAAATATATTGAAAATCATTTCGAATTTTGATCATTTCAATCGAAATCATATCGTAAATTCTTTTTTTTTTTTTTTAGAATATATATTCAGTAAATTTTTTTTATTACTTGCAATAATGAATTAAAAATTCCCGTTGAAAAAAAATTATAAAAAATAAACCCTCTTAAAACCATTCACGAATCTTACAAAACAAATTTAAGAAGAGAAAAATCGCGAAAGAAACGTTTCTTTAAAAAAAAGTAATGAAAACTTTGAAAACAATTCCAAACTGATATCAATCTTCTACGCCGCCCGTTATGACTTTTTAATAGGGTAAGTTATCAAATATTATTCTTTTATGATTGTATTCAACAACTGTTTATTCTAATTCGTTGGGTTATAGGTAATTTTAGATCTATGGCTTGGAAAATCATTAATTTTGAGAATTTTGTAATTTTTAATGCCGGCTGCTGTTTTGTTTAGTCTTTGCTTTGTAAGAAATGAGCAGCAGGACTTTAAAGTAATGCATTTTATTCATTTGCAAGTTGCTCCTATATGCTAAAAAGGATGAAGGTGGATTAGACCTTTGTCATACTAAATCAAATTTTTTAATTTTCAATGGAGCTTAATTTTAACTTTCATCACTATCTTCATTATTAAAGAACCCAATCGATATATCCCATTATCAACAAAACATTAATTTTTCGATTTATTTATTTTTTTTTTTAGCATCAAGATACTTTATATAAGTCAGCTTAAATAATCATAAAATTAAAGCATTTAGAATTGATAATCTATTTACTATTTACGTTATTCGTACTACACATTTAAAAACAAAAAAAATGTATATATTGGTGTTTTTAAAATTTTCAAAAATTTCAAAATGTCTATTTTTCAATTCAAATGGTATCAAATTTCAGAATATAACAATACAATTTCAGTACAAAATCAGGGTAAACTTTTTATAGGGACATGTCATGTCATTTTAAATAAAAACAATTGATGAACCTTTCGCGAGTTAGAATACTTTAAGAAAAGAAAGTAAAATCAAGGAATTAGTATATGCTATATATCAAGTATCCATTTTTGTATTGTCAATACATTATTGATAGTTGTTTTCATAATTATCATCATCATTTTTTTTATAAAAGGTTCATTTAGAGCTAATAGAGTTCAAATCAGTTCATAAAAAGGATATGTATGGTTTAAATAAATTGCAATTTAAACATGAACCTGATGAAGATGTTGCTAAAAGTATTCGATTATTCTAAGGTCTATGTCGATAATACCTCAATATCTTTCTTAAAAGGATAAAACCTCTAATGGTAGGATCTGACACCTCTATTAATTATATTACTATCAGCGTCAAATGCTATAAACCTCATTTATAATAATTGTTTTAATACAGACGATTTTAATTCGTATAACTTAAATGATAAGTTACAGTAACATACAGTTAGATCTGAAATTTCTGAAGAAAATTGATCCTTTTATGTAAACTCAGTCTATGCCATATTTTCATTCTTTATTCCAAAAAATATCTTGAAAAAAAAAGAACTATTTGATAATATGACTTTAGTATTCTGGCTGTTTTCAAATAATAATGACAATAAATAATCTATATTATGCAAAATTATTGTGAATTTCTTCTAAATAAGAATACCTTTAATGTGGTTTAAGATCTAGAATGAAATTTATTACATGTGGAGTTAGATACTTTCTTGGTTTGATAAAACTAACGCTCATGACTGAGATTGATCTCATTTAGATAAAACCTTTATTCTGAGAACTGGGACAAGTTTTTCTACAATTCTACTTAAAACAAATAAAACCTAATTGATAAAAATAAAATAAATTTCGATGGTAAATCTTACCAAATTAATGCAATCTACGATATTTATAATCTAACGCTCATATATTTTGTGCTAAAAAACTTGGTTATTTCTTTTAAAACTCAAAAATTTATTTTGTAGCACTATATATATATGTATATCTTCGTTAATACTGATCTCATAGAAATTTTTAAATTTTCACAAACTGAAAGAAAACTCTAGAGTATCTTTATAATATCATGTAAAATTATTTGAAATAGTAAGCTGAGAAATAACATTACAGCTATTTTCATATTTTCAAATTTTGAACCTGATACTTGATTTGATATATTGGTATCAGATCACGTGATTATAAAAATTTTGTTTACAGATTTTAGATAGTTTATTTTATTTATTTTTTAATACAAAATCCATAAATATGTAATAATCTTATATCTGTATATTGGATCAGATGTCAGTTTAAAATTTGTTTTATCCCAAAAAATATGAAAATAGCTATAATTAAAAAGGCTATTGATTCTCTTATTAGTGCTGATATAAAAATATCCCCTCAAGCTAGACATTTGATTAAAATATTACAAAGATTCTAACTTAGCTATTTGAAAGATTAATGGTACACAAGTTACATTTGAAAGAGATTAAAAAATTAGCTAATAAGACAAATGATGAATCAGAAACTTGATGTTTATATAAATTCTTAAAATATTATGAGTTAATTCTAATATCTTTTATTATACTATTAAAATAAAAGATTTATTTATTTTATGTATCTTATAACTATTCAAAAATTTATGTGAAATAATAAAGTATATGATTTATTTTAAAAAAGATTTTATTAAATTTTGATTAATTAAATGATAAGATTCTTTATTAATTTTAATTAAATAATTCAGGAATCTTATTTATTAATTTTGATTAAATGATTTAAAAATCTTATTTATTGATTTGATTAAATGATTTAGAAAGATTTGATTATTTAGGTTTAAAAGAAAGTATATAAGAAATGGTTAATAATTCAAAATTCAGTAAATATACTCTAAAATTGCTATATGGTATTAACGTTACTCTTTCCGTCAAATAAATTAACTATGATTTAAAGTCAGAGAGACAGTAGCTATGAACTAAATCCAATAAACTTGACACGCTATTTATTAGAGAGTTTATTTAATTAACAAAAAATAGATTATAAGTTTATGTTTGCAAAATGTTAAATGTGTTTATTATTGTTATTAATTGAATATTGAATACAATATTGTAAACTTGTTGGAATCTGTCCTTTTTCCAAGGCATTTTCATGCCCTTTATATAGGAAAATTACAATTAAAGAAAATCTATAGTAAATAAGATACTACTGACAATA